ACAATGCCGGATTGCGTGAACTGTATCCGGTTAATGTAATTGAAGTTAGGTTAAAGTAATTATATAGTGGCGAATAAAATGGGAGGGAGGTGTAAAATTTTTGGACTTTGTAACGAAAGAATTTCAAAAGGTTAATATGTGCTGTGCCTTAGTCTTTTATTAAATTATTAATGAATAGTGAATATACTTTAAAAAAGATAGATCTAGTGAAATAAAAAACTTTAATTTCTTTTAGTTTTGATTTCACCCTATTATCTTCCAATGATATAGATATTTTCCGAACTTTGAAAAGACCCATGTAAAATTGAATGGACTTTAATATTTTTATTTAGTTATTAAACTCATTTAAATAAATTGAAGGGGATTGAAAAACAGTATTAATTTTGTTTCTGCTATACTACTTTAATTTTTTTTAAATATTAGCTGCCTCACATTTTCATTTGTGATAAAATTAGATAAATATATAATATAAATGAAATTAATGATCAACTGATGGAGAAACAAGGCATGTTAAGTCTTCGAGCCAGTCTATCAACTGCTTCCTGCAGTGCCACATACCACGCACTGATGAAGATTTGTAAGGTGGTTCGAAACGTCAGCGTAACGAATAAAACTACTATTTTTTAAAAATTTAGTATTTATTTGACCGCTCTCCTCGACCAACTTCTTCTAATATTTATTAGTGTTTGCCCAGTGGTTGAAATTCGAACGTCATTATTATTGAATATTTGAGGAAAACATAAATGAATTTGCATGTTTCCAACATTTTTTTTTTTTTTTGCTCTTATATATTCGTATATACACTATTATTTAGACCTGGGCAGTCCTGAAATAATTTATTTCTGAAATAAATCATATGATTATTTCGTGAATGAATTATTTTCGAAATAATGGTTATTTCCAAAATAATAATTCAAATTGCCAATGAAATAATTCGATGAAATAACTACTAAATTTATTTCTGAAATATTTATTTCAATATTTTAACATTCCTTGAAATAAAGTAATTTATTTCGAAATGAGTTATTTCAGAACTAATTATTTTAGATTTACTTATATCATAAATAAATTATTACAAAAAAACATGAAATAATTATTTCCCAAATAACTCTGTATTGAAATAACATAAAAAAATCCACCAATATAACAAATATATATAAAGATATTAAAACAAATAAAAAATAATACCATTTTGAAAAAAAAAAATTATTTAAATGAAAAGAAAAACAGGAAATCAGTTAAAAATTTATAACAAAATAATATAAGCATGGATTGATTTTTATTTATTATATACCGTTGGAAATTTGCAATTATTTTAGGTCAATTATGTTGTACTATCTATCATTTTCACTTAGTGAATCATTCATTTCTACGAAATATTAGGTGAAAGTAGTGTGGTTCTCCCAACGCACAATTTTTGTTTTGTAATATGCTGGAGTAGGAATTCCATCGATACCCATAAACAACATCGTACCACTCAATATCAAATCCTTGGAACCTACTGGTCTCACTCATTCCAATTACCCATTAATTGAATGTTCTATTTGTAACATCTCCTCTACCACGGATCAATCCACGTTGGCTAAAAAATTTGGCATGAATATTGCTTCGATGGCAATGCTCCACCACACCCTTGCTTAAGAGTGATTAGATCGCTGCTTAGTGAAATAGCTGTAATTTAAATATTTATTTGTATTGTTCGGGTAAAAATCTTGATAGATTTATTGTAATCTTTGACTTATAAAAAAATTTTTTGGATGAGTTATTTGACTTTTCTCTGTGACACTTATTTACTTATTACATAATTTTGTATATTATATAATACATATATTTATATATAAGTAATTATAACTTATAATTACTATAAATTTTTAGATAACAGATATATTATTTATTTTTACAACAACGGCGGGGCTCTTCAACCTCTTACGGGTCATTTTAGCCCTAACAAAGTATTTATTTTACATTGATTTTAGATTAAGTTAAATTTAACAATAAATTGAAAGCATAAAATATTTAAAACAAAAAAAGAGTCAGCAAATTTTAAATTTTGTTGTAAAGGTGCGTTATTTGAAGAAAAGTAATGACTTTTTTTGCCAATTTGGTATTATTTTTTAGAATTTTAGTTATATCATTCTCCAATTCAACTTCATTACGTTGATTTTCATATCCATAACATTCAGTCAAAATGTGCCTGATTGTTAAATTGACCCCGCAGCAGAGACACTGAGGGGGCGTTCCCTTTGTCATCAGGTGCTCATGAGTTAGCCGTGAGTGGCTGATTCGGAGCCTTGTCAGTATTACTTCTTCTCTTCTATTTATCTGAAGGTCCGCTCGATTGGAAACTACAGAGGGCTCGATCACTCGTAACTTATTCTCTCTTAACACATGCCAGAGGCCCTGATATTTTTCTAGAGCCTTTCGCTTTACCAAAGCTATTACTTCTTTTGGGAAAACATCCCCTACTGGAGTTCCTTCTGTAATTGCTTGTTTTGCCATGATATCGGCTAGCTCATTACCTCTGATACCTGAGTGATCCGGTAACCACAAAAATTGTACCTTACATCCTACACCCTCCAATGATTTTATATGCTTAACCGTGTCTGTGACTAATGAGTTTGTTGAAAACAAGTTTTTAATAGCTTTGAATGCAGATTCCGAATCTGTACAAATAAAAATTTGTTGTTTATCGCAGGTGAGACAACAAACGGCACGATTTATTGCAAACAGTTCTGCATGGTAGGAAGTGTAATAAGGGGGCAATGAAAACATTTCCACATTATCAGAAACAGTGACCGCACCGACTCCATCTTGAGTTTTCGACCCATCTGTGAAAAGATATTCCCAATTGGAATGTTTCATTTGGAACTCCGTGAATTCTGCCAATCTTAACTTTGAAGAAAGGGCCTTGTTACATTTTACTTTATGTATTTTTGGAATGGGTAACAGCCAGGGCTCTGTTTACAATTGCCGAACTTCTAGAATGGAAGGAAAAGGTGCGAGATCGAAGACTGTGATGTGAATTGAGCACCTTTCTGATAAAGATAATTTAGCTTTTGGGTTTACGAGAACTGTTGTTGTTACAACAAGTGTGTTTTTCAAAGGGTGAGTGGGTCTAGAAATTGTTTTTATATAGAACGCCAAGTCTAAAATTTGCCTTCGTATAGCCAGTGGCATTATACCTGCTTCGACTTGAAGGCTCGCTATGGGGCTTGATCGAAAAGCACCAGTGGCTACTCGAAGTGCTATGTTTTGGATCGTATCCAGCATCTCAAGTGTCCTTTTGCTAGCGAAACAATATATTATACACGCATAATCTAATTTGATTAGTACAAGTGCCTTATACAATCGAATTATACTGATTTTATCAGCTCCCCAGTTGTGATTGCTTATCGTTTTTAGGATATTTAAAGCCTGCAGACAGTTAGCCCTAAGCTGTTTTATATAGGGTGTCCATGTAAGAGCGCGGTCTAAAGTGACACCAAGATATTTAATGTTCGTTGAATACACTAAATCCTTCCCGTCAATTTTAATATTTTTAATGGTAAAATTTCGTTTTCGCGTAAATAATATCGTCTGTGATTTGTTGACGGAAATTTTAAAACCATGTGTATATTAAGCCAAGATGTTACACCTAATAAAGCTTCTTGTAGAATTTCGTGGATAAGCGTAGTATCTTTACCCTTAACATAAATCACTACATCATCAGCGTACATCAAGATGTTAGCTGGGAATCTTACTTTTGTGGCGACTCCGTTAATTGCCAGGCTAAATAATATAGGACTAAGTACACTGCCTTGTGGGACACCGCTTATTTGTTCAAATTCTTTTGATATTGCGTTGCCGGATCTTACGTTAAACGTCCTATTGTTTAGGAAGTTAAATATAAATCGAAACATTTCACCGTATATCCCAATTTCAGTCAACGCATTTAGTAAATATTTTATGCATACAGAGTTGAATGCATTTTCGATATCCAAAAATACCGCTAAGAGGAATTCCTTTGATCGAAAAGCTCCTATTACGTCAGCTTCTAATTTTATTAGGTTGTCTAGTGTACTTCTGCCACTTTGGAAACCACTTTGCCATAAGCAAAGAATGTTTTTACTTTCCATAAACCATTTTAAACGATTGGCAATCATTCTTTCCAACAGCTTGCAAACACAACTGGTTAGCGCGATAGGCCGGTAATTAGACATCAGTTCTTTCGGTTTGCCTTTTTTCAAATGGGTATTATTTAGGATTTACGCCAATCATCTGGGAAAAAATTTGAACGGTATGCATTATTCAGTAATTTACAAAGTAATATTTTGCTATGATAAGATACATTTTTTAACATACTATAAGTGATGCGGTCTGGTCCTGGAGAGACTTCTTTACATGCTTTAAGGGCTGTACTAAATTCAAAGAAAGAGAAGGGGAGATTAAGGGCATTATTATCGGAGCTTATGGATTCCACTTGAGCTGTACTCTTTGAGGTTGGAATTGAGGTTTAACGGCTTTCTTCCTGATGACGTTTTTGCATAATAAAGGAATAAAAAATTAGGTAGTTAAACGAAGATAATTTTTTTTCTTTTTTTTCGTAATTAGCAAATAATGAAGACAGATATCTCGTAAACTGTGCAGAATATTGAAATAATGAATCGCTTTGAAAATTTTATTATCTCTAATTTTATATATAACATCCTCATCATAGTTTCCCTGATAAATATGAAGAAAATGTAAAAAAGTGAACTTGAGTGCCTCCCCCTTCATCCACCACGTTTCGGTCTACTCCTAGGAGTAGGAAATGTGGTCTTTCATTGTTTTTAACTAGTCCGAAGAATCTCACATAGTCAAAAAAATGTTCCGTCAATTTCTCTACATAACCATTCATTCCCTATACTAATCTTCAAGAGAATGTGAGATTATCATCTCGTTGGTGAAGAGTATGAGCGCATGCGTACTAACCATTAGAAAGAGTGGAGGGAGTTGGAGGAGGGATTACACTACAGACGAGGCTTTAGGCGACATTGGATACTTGGACTTGGCATAGATCACAGAGGAAGGAAAAGGGGATCATGTTTTGTCAAAACTCTCGTGCCCTCTCATTTTATGCATCGTTACCAACCAATACCTGCGTATGTTTATAATTATTTTATTTTGTATACCGATAGCCACCTTGAAAAAGAACCTGTAAGTCCAAAAGGTAAAATTATTTATAAAACTGCGAAATATTTTTCTTTAAGTTTGAACTCTATCCTTTTAACGAGGATGTAATAGTTTAACCATTTTTTGTTTTAATAATGAGTATGCATTTGGCCAAGAGTTATCATAAAAGCTCAAAACTACAAACTTTTGCAGTGTGGCTGTCGGTATATTATTTTAGAAAATATTTTATTTCAATATAGATATATAACTATGAATAGATTATTTAAAAAATATATGGAACACTGCACTCCATAATGTTCAAGTTTTCTGATTTTCTTTGGAGATAGTTTTATATTCTAAAGATGGAATAAAAGTAATTACATAAACTAGCACTATATGACAAATTTCTAATATTCAAGATAACTTTGTATCATTTTTCCCCCTTTCTTTAACCAGTTTGTAAAAACTTTAATCACGTTTATATAAATAAATTAATTTATTTCAGGATTAATATTTTAAAAACATGTCCTCAGGGGATAGTAGGACATTTTACAAAAGTAAACCAATCCATATTTCACATTAAAAAAAAGTAATACTTATTGTTATTATTTTATTTTGTATTAATTAAGATGCTTTTTCATACAAATACTCCTATCTCGATGTCGCATGGGCCAAGATCGCTTCGATCACACTTGTACATAGAATGCCGAAAACAGCCGAATTTGTCCAAAATAATGTGTAAGAGACCGAACTCTATAATTCTTATTTCCCCGTGGTTCAACTCATCGTGCTCCCAATAAAAATAGAGATGTTATGAGAATATCGTTTCGTCACCCTCAATATTTCGAAAACAAAAATAAAATAAATAATTATTGACTACATGAATGAATAAAATACATAAACTAAAATGTATTAAGAAAATAGGAATAGTCGACTAGATGGCTGAGCTGAAGGCTAGGCAAGTATTTTAGTACTCTCTATATTGCTATTATTAAAATTTCAGTTTATATTCGAAGATAAGTATATGTAGCAACTCATCCGAGGATTTAATGATTCATTCATGTAAAGCCTTCCATTTTTACGTGATTTTATCAAGTTTTCCGCGCCATATTTCAAGCATCGGAGAATAAAGAGTTCATTTCTCTGTCTCGAACGTTTAAATAAAAATTAAAATATGTAATATATGCAAGAACGAAAAATGACAGTAAATACCGTTAAGTTTATGTTGTGAATAAAAGTTTAATGTTTCAGGTAATCCTAATCTCGTGTTCTTTTTTTATTATTTTTTTTTTTTTTAACATAACAATAATGAATCAAAGTCAACTTCACACCACTTAAGCGGTAAAATGATATAGAATGTAATGATGATGACGATGATAATAATGAATAATAATGATTACAAAGCAAGCTTGGAATTAAAATATAATTAAATTGGTTAAATTTGTGGAACAAATGGAACATTAAATGTAATAAAGACTAACTTAATAACGTAACCAAAGAGATTAATCAATAGAATAATGAAGATTTAACTAGAAAAAAAAACATGAACTAAGCATTTTTTTTTATTTGTGTATACATAATAATTTATATCTTACCAGTTCTGGAATAGAAGAAATTTCGATGTTGAAGAATTACAAAAGACTAAATACTAAGAAAAGTAATTTTTTATTATCGTTTGAAATGAAACAATGAAATATAACCTTATGACTTCCATAGCAATTAATAAAATGTAATCTATCCTTACGTAAAACATCAATCTTATTGCATTGTGGTAATATTAGACACGCACGGATATTTCCATGTACAAGTGTGATCGAAGTGATCTTGGCCCACGGGTCATTCAGACGGAGTTTTTTTGAGATAGTAACTTTATTAATATTTATCATGTTTAAAAAAAAAATTACATACTTTACAATATTTACAACTTGTATAAATATATTTTTTTATGTTTAATATTATATAGCTTCAACTGATTACTTTGATAGCATAAAACAAAAGAGATGTATTTTTTTTTTAATTGGCAACTTATAAAACCATTCACAGTTTCCTGCGTTTGTATAAGATATTTATTATATTTTTTCAGAATGTATCCGTTTTCATTGAAATATATTCACTTAGAATTTTGGCTGGTTTCGCTTTAATCATTTTATTTTTGTTCTGTTTATTTCCAGTATAATTTAGCTCTTCCATTTTTACGGTTCAGTGGTGACTTGTTTTGAGTAGAACAAGGGGTTTGGTCATTATTTTCTGCAATTAAATACTTAAACAGTCATTAAAGTGAAGAATTCGATTCGCTCTATTAATCGAATATAATAGAGTTGGATGAAGTTATTTTAGTCATAGAAGGTTAAGAACATTAAGCATTTATTAAAACTATAAGCATTTCTAAATATATAAGCTATTACAAAAGTATAAATATAAATATGTGGTCAAAAATTTTCAGGAAACGGTTTGGAAAATTATGTATGGTATAAAAATATTGATTATATATAAGCTAACATTATTTGAGATCCGTATGGAAAAATGGGTACAAGTGACAAAAACTAAGTTTTGAGTAAAAGATGGTTTAATTTATTATGGTTTGTGATAGTTATGGTTAGGATCCAACAAGAAAATTATTTTATGTATTTTGAAAACAATTTTATGTTATTATTTTCTTTACTTTACCCGAATTTCTAACTTATTATACTAATCGAATTATTTTTTAGTCCAGGAAAAAAAAAAGAAATGTTGCCGATTACTATCACTTACAGTTTATTACTAACATCTATTCATTATTATCTATCTTTATATCTTTATTTATAAATATATGTTATTATTTATCTTTTCCGGATAACCATTATATAGATATAAAATATTCATTGCCTATTAAACACATTAATTTTGTATCTCTTGTGTTATTTTTTGAGTCCTAATAATGACCAAACATGCTTGAGTCAAAATAGGCAAAAAAATCTTGTCATGATTCTAAATCTGCTCCAAGTGGTTAGCTATTTTTGCCTCCTCCTCCCTTCTTTATAAAGATTTTCTTTTTTTTCTTTTTCTTTTTTTTTTCTCTGCTTCCAGTAGCTGAAGCCTAGTCCATTAATGAAGGCGGTTTGTATAGGCAGCCGGAATGAAAACTCCCCCACCCTTCTCTTTTCCGCCGGAACTAATCTAAGTCCGGTAGACTTAGAAAATGCTATCGATTATATAAGTTGTGTTAATTACTGTTCCTCAAGGAGGAGTTTTCCTCGAAAGTTTGACTGAAACTTCTTGTCGGTCACAGTTCTAGGTCACTCGGTCCAACCGGTTATAAGTATGCATTTAGTATTGTTCGTTTTGAAAAAATTAAGAAATGTGAACATTTTCATGATATGCGCAGAAATTTTATACTGTTGGTAATATTTTAGTTTGGATTATAGAAAACATTGTTTTTTTACTACTTATGCTAATAGTAATAGTATGTAAATTTCTCTAAAAAAAACAATGTAAGTTTCACGCTTAAGAAAGCCTATTGGCAACTACCCAGTACCTTCGAAAAACTATGTACGGTATCTAGAACTCTACTTAGACAATAGCTTTACTTCTATAAAAATCGTAAATTAAAAAGACAAGAACTCACTAGACTATGTAACTGTGTGACTATGTAATACCTTTTTGATTACAGATCCTGACTTAGCTTATTAAACAAGCGACTAATCTATTTCACTATACTGAGACCAATTTAGGACGTATGGAGCAGAACTTTGGAATTATAAACAACACAATGAAAATTATACAATAAATAATAAGGTTACCTTGATATAATTCTAATAACAGTATAGACAACGACTTCAACAATACCGAACATTCAAACTATAAAATCCTAGATCCAACTACTTTACATGTCACTCTACTACTAAAAATGACTTTAAACTGGTGATTTTGAGTTAAAGTTCAATTTAGATTACAGCCAATTACTTCATAGTAAACTAGATTAAATTTATATCAAATCTTATGTTTTTCAAATGCCTTTTAAAGAGGAATTTCAAGCAGTTAGTTCGGGTTTTCATAAAATCGAGTACTCTATGCTTTTTTTTTTTAAACCCTCCAACTGGACTGAAGATACCACATATTCGGTAAAATGATATAATTATAATTATATCATAAAATCCAATCCCGTACCTCCCAATATTTTCCTAAACAACTCTCCTATTTCGTTCCAAACTTCCGTTAAAAACCTTGGTGTTATCTTTGATCAAACCCTCTCAACCACACATTTCCCAAATTTCCCGTCCTACTATTTCTACTCTAAAACCGTTCAACCGTCAACGCTACCAACTTCCATATAAAACCCGTCAACTCCTGGTTTCCTCTGACTTCGATTATGGTTATATGGTATACGGTGGACTCTTAGGAGAACTCGAAGCCAAACTTAAACAGGCCTAACGAATTGCTCGATACGCACTATCTTCGGGATCTCAAGGAATACGCATATTACCGAGCATCACGCCAAGTTAAAGTGGCTCTATCCATCCTACCGCCGTCAGTACTTCCTTGCTACCTTTCTACAATCGGTTATTAGAAGTCAGCGACTCTTATATACTTCAGATCCTGCAATAAAAATCTTCCATTCAATCTCGTCTCACCAGATCCCGTACTTCTGATATCTATCCTCCTTCTCACCGAACTGCTGCATTTGACAAATCCTTTGCAATTCAAGCCGTCTCCTTTTCTAAATCTACCCCTTCCGATACCCAACATGCACAATCAGTTTCCTCATTTAAACCTCTCCTTTTTAAGCCCCTACTCCTTTCTCAATCCGACTGATCACGAACTGTACATAAGAGAACTTCTTAAGATTTCCCAGTAGTCATGTTATATACTAATTTTATTCTATTTTCCTTTGTTTAGTCTGTATACATGTGTATGCTTTTGTTTTGTTCTTTTTCTTCCTATATTTTTATTTGTAATTAGATATCATTTTGTAAATATTTAATGTAATGTATGACCCCACAGCCATTTCCTCAGTATTTATACTTTGTTCTAAAGGGAAAACAGTCCCAGGATAATAAAAAAAATTTTCATTTCATATAACTGGCACAAATAGAACTTACCTCTTTATATGAAAGGTGATTACGAAAAATCTCTCTAAATATAATAGAAAGAGTGTATAATATTGTAATGAAGCTAGTTTTGAAGTCTCCGAAACCTGGACTCACTTTTTAGAAAGAATTATTGAAAGATTTTTGAATAAAAAATTCTGTACTATAACCAGGGAGATCTGATATCTAGTACTCTTAGCATGTGGGAGAAACAAGAGGCAACGAAGAGCTACTTATATAATTTGATCATTAGATATTTCACGATATTAAGACAAACAAAATAAAATGGATAGTAAACAATAAATAACTTCCACATCATGGTGAATTCCTTAAGAGTAGAATGCCCAAAACCAGAGGGAAAAATGAAGTCAACAAAAATGGTTGCAGTGCTGCATAGATAAAACTAGAAAGGTATAGACAAAGATTGACAAGGCTGATTCAATTGGGCCTACAACTTACAATAATTACCCAGCGTCCATGGGCTGAAGCCTCCCCCAAAAATGATAAAATATAACCGTGTTTTATGAAATCAATTATCTTTAAAAGTATTATTGTTCGTCTAATTGCAGTTAATAGGTCTTAAAGAATCACTTAAAGATCATTTCATATAGATAGTTAGTTTCTTTCTTTCTTAAGTAATTATTCTAATATATTTTTGCAAAAAAAAATCTTTCGGGCTGAAACCCCTCACTCCCCAAAATTAAATGCTGAATCCGTTAGTGCCAGCGTCTGATTGATTTGTGAAGAGAAATTGGAATAGAAGATTTATAAATGTGGATAAGGATTCGAAATAACGGATTTTAAGCAGGATGGAATTCCAAACAGTGGTGGAACCAGCAATAATAGAATGTTGAAATGTAGCATATCTGTGAGAAGAGGCATGAACCTCAGAAAGTCGAAATGTGAGAGAGATGGTAGAAGACTTGAATTGTAGAAGCTGGCAATGATTGTTTATTATTATTTTAGATATATATTTACAGTTTATTTTTGTTGTAAAACTCTGTTTTTCTTCAGTTATCCTTACCGTTTCTTCGCATTGTTTAGCGATTACGGAATTCTCTGAATAACTATGCTGTTCGAGGTTTAAAAGTGATGTTTTATTTTTAGCTTAGTTAAGGAAAAGAACGTGAGAGTAATTTCCATCGTTCTTATCTTCCTTATCTGTATATAAAAAAGAAAAAAACGTTGTTCGTGATGTGAAAGGAAATATAAAACCCGTAAAGATCGTTATTGCATTCCATTAGTGTGCATGACGTTCAATTTTATTTTGCAACTTCTTTTCTGATTTTTTTTTTTTTTTTTTTGCATTTCAGTTTACTTCAACTGATTTATCTCAATTGCCCGAGCGCTAAACTAATCTTACGTTGTGAAATTTCTATACAATTATAATATATCATTATATTACAGTAAATATATTATTATTAGTCGCTATATGATTTGTTTAAGTGGTTCCGTAAAAAAAAAGTCTGGTGCGCGCAACACACAACTTTCAATTACCGCTCTACTTTGAAAAGAAATTATTTTCTGACAATGCTTTTAGAGGAAGAAAGAAAGACTTCTAGAAAGTAGTATGCCTCTCCGTTCTATTATATTCATTACAAGAGATAATTATTTTCACAATCAGTTATCAGTAATTACATATCGGACACCTCGTATATGTAATTCCCAAACCTCCGTGCGACTTGATCACTTCAGCAGTTTTTGTCTCTGTTCTTCGAAGGTTCTCGTGGGTATAGCTGAATGAGGTCAACGAGGGCTAAAAGAATAAAGTACGAAAATGTAAACAATACTCTATCACGGGCGGATCTACGGGGAGGGGCTTTCGGGCTGAAGCCCCCTCCCCCCCCCCCAAAATGGTAAAATATAACCACGTTTTATCGAAAAAAATATTTAAAAAGTATCTCTTAAAGTATTATTATTCGTGTAATTACATTTAAAAGGGCTTTAGCAATAACTTAAACACCATTTCATACAGGTAGTTAGTTTCTTTCTTTTTTTCCAAAGTAATTATCGTTATTTTTATGAAAAAAAAACCTTTCGGGCTGAAGCCCCCCCCCAAAAATAAATCCTGGATCCGCTAGGGTACTCTATTATAAATATATAGTGTTCTTGAATACAGTGCTGTTTATGTTCGCATTCTACTTTCTGAGTCATTTATCTTTGTTTAGACCTTCATAAACGATGAAGTTATGAAGCAGAATTATTGTTTCTAACATCAGTTCCACTTGCTACTATTAGGAAAATTATAAATATCTTAGTTTCTGTTAGTGTAGACTTCGTGCCGAAAATGGGAAACGAGTTTGGCATTCAGCTCAATTCGTAACAATTTGGTACACACACGTATTTTCAAATTTGCATTCACCATTGAAGATTAGATTATTAAAATAAAAACGCATAAGCTCCCGAATTTTTTTTTATACATATTTGGAAAGTTAAATGACGTTAAGGAAATTGGTATGGATGAACTACGTCACGAGAGTGGTTACATGTCAGGCCCCAGCTCGTAGCGTTGGATATATTACACTTTTTAGCATAGAGTAGTGTTTCCAGCATAAAAACTTCCACCAAAGTAATATCTTTCTACTTTTTCTTTCAATCTTCTCTGTATAAAAGTATCTTGTTTGAAATGTATTACATTAATTTCTATGGATACATATTGATAAATTATAGCTGATAGACACATTGGCAGCCCTATGCGTCACATCCTGCCCTTATTTCTGAAAGAGCTGTTATTTTAAGTTTTTAGTTAAATATGAACCCTTCATTATTTAAAAAGCGCATCATCAACCTTATAAACGTTATTTATCAATTGAATTTTATTGCAGTTTAAATGTACGCGTTTTTTTTCCTTTAAGTGCAACTTCGTTGCAACTATGTTCAAATTGTATGTTCGGTTTGAACAAGATTCTATTTTGTTTCCCCTCTCTTCTTTTTTTTTATTTTTATTAATTTTTCTATTTTATTGCTAAACATAAGTACTTACCTTATCACTAAACGTTTTATCAATTATCCCAACGAATTCGTTCTAGGAACTTGCATAAAATAACTATGTGATGCAACTTTGAAAAAATAAAAACTTTTGTTCTTCTTCTACCCATTTGCCTTTCGGCATCGGGTACTTCTAACCACCGGTGCCGTCAAGTTTCTGTCTCTGGCAAGGTTTCTCATTTCTTCCAGTCTCTTCCCTTTGCGTCTCCTTATTCGTTCATTTATTAACTTCATTCATTCATGCATTCATATCATCTTTAAATTTATAATAATACTTACAAAATCAATTAATTATATTACTTTTTCTTTCCAGGTGAGTGAATTTCTGATGGATAGAAGTGTTTTTTCGGATGTATGGTAAGTTAAACTTATTAATGGATTAACTATATCCATATTTAATTAAATTTAAGCTTAGGATATGTTTTTATATCTCATATTGAATGAAAAGAAAGTCACGTAAATGCATGAAGTAAGTCAAGAAATTCCACTTCGTAATATCCACTTAATAAACCTTAGTTTTGTTTGAAACCATAAATGGTATAGGGTAGAAGAGCCTGTACTAAGATCTTTGCTGTTCTAGGTATGTCCGTTAATATTTTTAAAATATGCCTCGATAATTTAAATTATGCCACATCTATCATTTTCATCAATAAAAATTTAAATATATATATATATTACAATGTTTTTTTATAATTCGACCTTTATATATTTTTACTTAAAATATGAATTATAATCGAATAATAGGTCATGAAATTTCATGACCTATTATCCGATCATAATTCATATTTTAAGTTATGTACATATATATATATATATATATATATATATATATATATATATATATATATATATATATATATATATATATAATATATATATATATATATATATATATATATATATATACATATATATATATACAAAACAAAATCCAAATAATAATTCTATAAAAAAAGTTTCATCCAAATCGAAACTGATTAAAATTAAAAGTTAACTTCTAATTTAAAGCCTTGGTATTAGAGGTAAGCCTTTTTAAGTAAGAAAGATAAGGTCTTGATTTATGAGGAGATATTTAATTTGTTAGGAGCTCTTTTACCAACAGCTTTTGGCCATTTTTCATACTTATTTCTTTCGAAAACTTGTTAAGTTTTTCCTCATCCACACCTTCGTTGACCATGAATATCTTCTTTGAAGATATTTAAAGTATTTTTCTTAATATCTGATCTTAATACATTCTTATAGCATTTGCAAGTGCCTGTCAGAACTTAAAATTGAATTACGTTAAAACCAGTTTCAGGAATAAAAGTCAATTATTTATAATCAGATACATAAAGATACAGAAAAATAAAGTTAATCAGGAAATTTTTAAATATATTGCTTATTTAACAGCTCAACTCAGTACCCAGTTATATTGGCCTATCATTAAAGGCACCTACACCCAGAATGCAATACAATATTCCTGAGATCCGTGATCTGACGATATAATTGTACTACCATCTATTGCATTATAACAGTCACACGCAGGGCGATAATCGGCAGTACCAACAAAGGGATATCGTATCGCGGTGATATATCGCGGTCTGTTTGTTGGGCCCACTATCTTCTTATATATTATTTCTCAAATACATATCCCTTTTCCGGCTCTCAGGAGTGATGGATTTTGGTGATGGATGAGGTATGAATAGAAAGGGAATATCACGTAGAGTGCGCGAATCGTAATTTTGATTCCTAATTTTATACCTGGACTTAAATAAAAGTGGGAGGTTTCAAACCATTTGATGGTGTCGTCTCAACGAATCGAGACGTTACAATTTAATTCATAATTTGGGAATAACTCGGAATGGACGCAATTTTTGCATACAAATATTTCAAAGCTTAGGAAATTCACTACAAAATGAAAAATGATTCATCGAAATCGGACTATGTGGTGCAAAGATATAGTATCCTAACATTTAGTATTAATTCTACTTTAAAGATTTTTTTTTCATTTCAGTTTTGGATTACTTAAAATCTTTAAATCTATTGTAGTAATAATTTTTTTCATCATGTATATTTTAGTCGAATTTTGTTTTTTCTTTGAATCTTTAAAATTTTCCAAGGATATATATTAATAATAAAATTCATAATATCGAGGAAAAAGCTTTTTTTTACCGTTATATATATATTCCATGCTTGGATCATTTAAATGAATTAAAGCATCGAATAAATATATAAGAGTAAAATAAAGCTTTTTCCTCGATATTATAAATTTATTAGTAAATTTTCTTATTTAACAGAAAATGATATAAAAGTATTTCTTAATCTACCCTATTTCCTCTTCTGTTCTTCATTCGGAATTTAAAATTTTGGGCAATGACCCTTTTCTTTCTGAGACAAAATACATTATATCAATAAGTAATTATTCTAGCTAATTTCAAAACATTTGGTTTTGTTAAATTAATTATTAAATTTGTTATATTGCTATAAGTATGGAATGTTATATACTTCATTTTAAATAAAATATTATTTACATATAAGCTATTAGATGTTTATCATTTTAAAAATTTACTTGATTATTTTTAATGACAAAAGAAACATTTCTTTTTTTTTTATTTTCATTTTCTGTCGATACAGACTGCTAGGGCAAAACGCACATTCCAGAGAACTAAATCCAAAGTATTTATCAGAAATTTGTCATCAGAAATTTAAAGGCAATGTTTATAAGCTTTTGTAAACTTAAGAAAAAATATAATATTATAATTATAAATTTAATGAAACTAGAAATGGTTAACCTATAGATGGGTATATATTATTATATTTAAAAACTGATAGCTTACTAAATAAAGGTATTAAACCTTTGCATAGAAACATTACTGAATGGAACGCACGGGTCAGCTAGGACAATACTATTCCATATAAAGGTACCTAACCTACCTGTAGAGGTGTATGTTTATATAAAGGTAAATATTCTCGTTACTCCATCTTATTTTGTATACCAAGTAACTCCAATCTCTGAGCTATATATATAAATAGTGAAGAATGGGAAGAATATACAATTAGCGAATGGGAACTATAGTACACATTTTTTTTTTTTATATTGTTTCATGTTTTTATAATGCTGACAACATTTTATAAGATAATTAGTGTACATATATTTTAAGTAGTTGATATTTATTTATGTTTTTAACAATTTTAAAGTAGTTGATATTTATTTATATTTTTAACAATTTTAAAGTTAGTTCGATGATATTTATATGTATTTAATGTTAATTAATTTTATAAGTTAATTTATAATTCCCTGGACTGAGGTATCCAGTCTCTATTTTAAAAGTAAGTTGAATTTTGAAATAATTGTTATCAGAAACATAAGGAAGCATAATTACATACCGATTGAGCTATTTGTTGTTCTAGTTTTGAAGAGCTTGTTAAGTTATAAACCATAACCAAAAACCATTGTTAACTTATAAAAACCGGAATCAAAATAATTTATTGAATAATTATTAAGTGACCTTATTCGCAATTAAATAATTATTTTAGAATATTGATATATATATATATATATATATATATATATATATATATATAATATATATATATATATATATATATATATATATATATATATATATATGGCATGAGAGATTTAAAATTATATTTAACCAATAAATGATTATGGATTGTACGCCTCTTAGTTATTAAACTGTTATTTTCCATTGTAATGTTTACTAAAATGAAATTAGGAGATGTTCATCGCCTGCCATAGATAGGTCAAAAGATGTCTCACTAATTTCAAGTGAATAATGTTGGGATTTCACATAGGAAAAATTCTTCAAATTATTGAATAATTTAATTTTTCAAAGGTTATAAACAACTTTTCGGAATAAACAGACGTCGATACCAAATTATGTGAATCTAATATCAGAATTATTAAACTACAATAAATGTATTTAAGATTATAAAAATATGTTTGATGCATCCATGAATGTTTTTTGGGTGAAAGAGTGAGAGGAGTAACTTATTCAATAGATTATCTACTAATTATCGTATATTTACATAAGAACAATATAATTCCCAAAATTTTAAGGCTAATTTGTTTGGGCACTTTTTGACTAATTAGGTATCAAAAACGACCAAAGGATCAGAATACGATGCCACTGACAGTTGAGACTTATCGATGCGGGGGACTTAGTAGCTAAGTTGGATGAGCCGAGTCCCTGTCGTGTGGCTTTCCTCCCAGGAAGAAGGATAAAGGAAAGTTGTTATCTGAACCTTCCCTCCATCCTTGACAAATCCTCTTGTCAGGAGTCGTCTAGGATGGGCGGCGATTCGTCTTGACGATTTAACAACGCTTGATGGATATGAATGCATTAAATCTACATATGGATATCGCATTTTATCCTTAAAACCACTGCACATTATTACTATAATAATGGTTTATTATTGGTTTGTTGTTTATTAAATAATGCTTTATTATTTCCAAATAATTATATATCAAAAGTAACATTACTTTCCTTGTAAAATATGGAAAAAGTAAATAAAAGGTGATTTCTAATATTGCCCTAAATAATTTTTTATTTCATTATTAGAAATTTTCTAAAAAAAATAAAACATGTTGGTTCTAGTTATGTAACACTTTCGAGATATTAAAAACCAAAACAAATGAAATAAGATTTGCATTAGATCAATGAAATATATATTAAAAAAACATATCTTTGCACCAAATTGACCGATTTCTACGATTTTCTTTTATATTTTAGGAAATGTTGTTAACTTTTAAATGGCCAAAACAATAACTTTATCTAAGATTCATTGAAATCGGTACATCCGTTCCGGCGCAGCAGTGTACATGATGCAGGACTTTCGGCCTGTTAGAGATAACTTTGATTCCAAATTTGAAAAAAAAAATCGATCCAGTAATCTCCGAGAAAATGTGCAGACGACGGATGGCGAACAGACAGATTTTTTCGATTTTCGAATTCTACGTATCGCAAAACGTAAAACCTCAGATTTCGAAGATAGGTTAAGTTTTTGAATTTTTCGTACGATTACAATGATTCAATAATAATAATTATTATTATTGAGGGAAATCCCTTGTTTCACAGCATTTTCTGGTTACAGCACATTACTCGGACTTAAGTCAAGGGTAGGCTAAACAAATTAATCTGTTGAATTCATAAATTTTCGAACAATACTAGCTGTTCCGAGTAACACCGCTTTCTGTAACAGCTCCAAACAATTCATTGAAAGGCCTAATTCCTTCATTGAGCCCACTGTTATGTCCGGAATCAAACCATTTGCAGAGATGACCAGCGGCAAAACCCTCATTTTATCAACTTTATATAATTTCTTGAGCTCATCACCATGGTCTTGATATTTGC